GGTTTTGTATGAGCCTCATTAAATCAAATCTTATCAACTCTAATCATCTGCGCATTTTTCCCGTGCAAAACTGTTTCCCTCGCAAACCATGTTCTTTATGTCATTGCTTCTCTCTATAGATTATCATCTATAAAAGAACGTAGATCCATAAATCGATTTCTGTTCCTTTTTACTTTTCCTCTCTAAGCTATACTGAAGGGAACAGAATTAACTACAAAACTAAGTTCATTATGTTACGCCAAAACACCAAATAACGGAAGATCAATTTGCTAAGTTTCTGAAAACGCTTGGACGGAGATTCATAGCCGGTGGAGACTACAACGCCAAACATCAACAATGGGGCTCACGTCTCAATACCTTAAGGGGGAAGAAATCTACTTAAGGCAATAAACAAATTGGAAGTTATGAACACTATCAACAGGAGAACCTTCATACGGCCGCACTGATATGAACAAGACGCCTGATCTTATAGACTTTTCTTAGCAAAAGGAATAATTACCTGCTACAATCAATCATTAAAACCATACTACGACCTTAAGTTCCCGATCCATACGCCCAGTAAGAGATGCCATCTGTTCGTGCCGTTATTGAGCGCAGATCACCACCTAAACTTTGTAGTAAGTTTACTAACTGGGATAAATTTCGAAATATACGTTAACAACGTCGTTAAGCGTAAAATATGCCTTTAAAATCAAGCAATTGGCTAGCATACTGCAGTTTTTACATCTAACAGAGGTTGTACGGAACGGCTGCTGGAGAGCAACACCAAAATCTGAGTAATCAAGAACTCACGCGTACCCCAAAGAAATTAGCAAAAATAAATGAAACGGGCCGGACTTCGTAGAATCTATATGTACACCAGAACAGCCTGAAGACAAAAAATAAACTTAACGCATAGCCCAGCAACTAAAAAAGAAACTAAAGAGTACGCAAAAACCAAATTTTTCCAATTACGTCAATTCTTTGTCACCAAACCAGCTTATAACTAATTACTCGTTGTGGAAAGCAAAAAAAAAAAACAATCGGCCAGGCAACAACACATCTCGCCTATTAGAGAAGCCAAGATGGCACTTGGCAACGAAGTCCTGAAGAAAAGGCCGAATGTCTTGCTATTATACTTTTCTACAGTATTCAACACCAATAGTAAACGAAGTATTTCGGAAAATGAGGTAACAGAAAGTTTACAGCTCCCCTCCAACAGTCCGGCACCCACCAGGACGTTTAATTATGTGGAAAATAGAAGAAACCATTAAAAAGCACATAAATCCTACTAAAGCTCAGGACACTGATCTTATAACTGGTACAATATTACAAGAATTACCCCAGAAGCACTATCATTCGTCCACATCCATCTTAATGCATTATAAGCGAAGAGCCACTATCCGACTCTTTGGAAGTAATGCACAAAGTGATAGCCATAGCGAAACCTGGAAAATGCTACAGCCGTTTTGCATCATACAAGACCAATAAGTCTTTCCCAGTTATCCAGGTATTTGAATAACTACTTTACAACGGCTTAAACGAATAACCGATAATATAATACCAGAACCTTTCAATATGGGTTTCGTGAAGGTCACTCCAACTATAGATCAGACACACCGAAAGTAAACAAGATAATCTCAAGCCTAGAAAGAAAGAAATATTGCTCGCTTGGCTTCTTGGACGTACAGCAAGCTTTGAATAGGGTCTGCTATGCAGGACTGCCTATTCAAAATCACTATTACTCCTGCACTCATTCAATACATTTTTAAACGTATCTATCCAACCGCCTTTTTTCAAAATTAAATACCAAGATGTTTTCTCTGGATTAAAGCCACAACAGCAGGTGTCTCCTCAAGGAAGTATGTTAGGAAACCAATTCTGTCACGTACATCTATACTTCTGACTTACGCAACAACAGAACGCACAATGATGGCTACATTTGCTGATGACACAGCCTATTTTTACTGTCGACGAGGACTCACTCGAGCATCGCAACAACCTGCAAGCGCATCTGACAAGATAGAAGAATGAACGAATCAATGGAGAGAAAATAAACACAGCAAAATCCAAAACAGATACTTCTCACTTCGAAAAAGAACAGTGTCCCAAAAGTGAAATTTAATTCGCAGAACTCTCAGTAACAACTGTTGTGAGTATGCTTGGTTTAATCTAGAAACAGTCAAACTTTAATCCTGAACCTGCACATCTTTGAAAGAAAAGAGAAAGAATCACAACTGAAAATTTAGCAAAATTACATGGCTACTTAACAATCAAGGTCTAAGCTCTCCTTATACAACAAAATTTTTAGTGCTACATAGACAATAATCAAAACCAATTAGGACTTCGGCCATCGAACTCTGGGGAAACTGCCAGCAAAGTCAAAACGCTGGAGATCCTGAGAAGAATTCGAAACAAAAACACTGCGATATTATGCAACGCTCCGTGGTTGTCACCAACAATAATTTGTACAAAAGAATTTGAACATCTCAACAATTGACAGAGACTATCTCGGAGAGAGCAAGAGGCATCAGAAGAACTGGGATGTTCCACCCGAATCAACACTCAGTGAACATGTTGGACAATAAGTGAAACATGTGTATAGGCTAAGTAACATATTCTAGACTTAACCCTTTAGATTCTCTTCATAGTAACTTCTATCATGTATACCATTTACTAATTTTTCCAAGTGAACGGATTGTAAATTAGCAGAATTGAAAAAAAAAATATGTTACGCATTCAGAATTCTTTCAAATTCTGTCAGCCTTCTTGCAGCTCGTGGCGTGTATTTTGCAAATGTGCATTCCCGCCTGAGATATGGCTTAATATTCTGGGGAAGCTCATCATGTAGAACCCAACCCTTTAGATAGCAAAAGAAAATTATTCGAATAATAAAAAAATGCCATCCGAGCGATCCCTGCAATATTTTTTCATTGAGCTTGGAATCTGACCACTGCTTTGCCTAATTATTTACGAATCTGTAATATTTGTAAAACTGACTTACTTAACGGTGGGAACATATTTTCATGCAATACTGATGTTTATAATTACAACACACGTTAATCAAGTATCTGCATCAATAGCTTACTACCAGAAATACACATACAATACATGTCCGTTTCTTTACTACGCACTGCCAAATGACATTAAACAATTGAAGTAGATACACAAATTTAAATTGAAAGTAAAATCTTTTCTCCTGCATAACTATCTCTATAGAATTAGAAACATATATTGTTCATGAAAATGAAAAATAATGTTTATTTTAACAAAACTGATGTATAATGGATTAGTTTTACATTTGTATTGTATATTTTTTAAAAGACTTTAATATGATTGTAACAAACAACGTACGTCAGCTTCCGGGTCGATGACTCCCATCTCGATCACGTTTTTGTCTAGTTTCCCTGATACATTGAGCAAATGCTGAGATGGACCCTCGTTTTGCTTCTGAAGGTAAATGTAGCTTCCCAATGCGCACGTTTTGTTGAACTCTCCTTTTGGTTGTAGTGGTAGGGTAAGAGGTAAGGGTGAGTTACTATTTTGTTAGCAATACAGAAAAATCAAACTTGCAGTTCGTTTGCCGTTGCAAATAAATTTTCTATAACTCGGGAACGAAAATATCTAGTTTTTCAAATGTTGCTCTTCTCGCACATTTTTAAATTTTATTTTTATTTATTTATTTACCTTTAATTTTTACTCATCGTTTAACTATTTTTAGTTGAAAAAATGGAAAGGGTTTCTGGAACTCAAGAAAACGTGCGCACATGATCTTCTCCCGCATATGTCACAAACAGTTTTCACTGATTTTTCACTGAATAAATCTAAATCTAAAGGGAGGACAAGTTTTGGAATCAAACCATACGATCTTGAATTTTCGTTCTTAAAATCTGTGTTTAGGTTTCTTTTGTGCTATAACTGCGCACGCACGTCAAAAGCATTAAGATATAACAGTATTGTTCAAAAGACGGTTAAGTTCAATGCAGGTGTCGAGAAGATACATGTAATTTATTCCCGAAAATCGAGATTCCTGGATGGATGGAAATACGCAGTGTCTCACACAACTCGTTCAAATGAGCTTTTCTGCTGAAACTTTGTAAGCACATCAGGAGTTCGATGTGGTTGTGTTGTCCGGGGGATCATTAACGTGGATAAATTTAATATCAAAACATTAACACTTACTGACAGGCTATGACTCGTCTTGATATTTTCTTCATAACTTTCTCCAAAGTCGAACCTTATCGCCTTATGCTTCAGAGCAGGTCACATGACGTATCACAACCTGTGGCAAAAGAACTGTCAGAGTTACTTATACGCTACCGGTATTGCAGTGAAACCTATAAATTATCTTGAGTTCTACGATCTTACTCAAAGCTGATACTGCTGACCAGTGGTGAGATTTAGGATCTGTTCCGGGAGGATGGATTCAAGTTCCATAAAAAAATTAAAATAAACATTTTTCATACTTTTCTCAACATTGGAGAGGCAATTACAATTACATTGCGTGACGGGAGGGGGTGGTTATCGGAACGGATCCGTGGGTGAAATTCACGTCCGTCAGAAGGAGCGAGGATCTAACGAAGCAAAGGCGCGTGAAAAAGCTTTGGGATCAGAGGCACACTCTAGATAAAATAAAGTTCCGAGAATTGGTAAATGTGACGGGAAATGAAATACGAAAATAAGAGGAGAGCAGTTTCCAAAAATCATAAGGGTGTACAAAATTATTAAACAAAACTGTAACATACAATTAACATACTATCAGGGGCGCCCATAGGACACAAGGGGCCTGGGGCAACAGACCCATAGGACCCCTTACGTCAAACAAGATTTCTTCTTATGCTGTTGTTGTAGTTATTATTATTATTATTATTATTATTATTATTATTATTATTATTATTATTTATTGTTATATTTTAAAGCAAATTCTACTTCAACTTCAGTTAAATTTTATATACAACACTTAATAAAGTTACTGAAATTTAAAATAATAATTACAAACTGTATCAATAATACAAATACCTCAAGCTAGTTCTAAAGTATTTATTAATCAAAACAAGTTTACATTTTATATAAAAACGTAGTTTAACTTTAAACAAAAAATACATGCACTGATAAAAACATTATATGGTATGACAATGTAATTGTATGCAAATTCTGAGTATTTCAGTAATTTATTTTTGAAACACTTTCTCTCTGTAACGGAACCATTCATGTAGTATTGAAGTATGTAGTAAAGTTCTGTCTAATTGTTAAAGCTTTTTGTGAACTTCGGGTAAAATTAGATTGTAATAATGGCCGCAGTTGATCCTTTGGCATCTTCTCTTCATTCATTTCTTCACTCATTTCAGCTACAGAAATCCTTAAATAATTGTGCAACACACACGCTGCCTTAATGACACTGATAACACTATTCACTTTAATTTCAAATGGTGCTCGAAAAATTCTAAAACACGAAGAGAGTATGGAAAAGCTGCATTCTACCGTTTGGCGTGCTCTTGAAAGTCTGTAATTGAAAACTTTGTTTTCGTCATTGTCAGTAACGCTTCGTTTAGGGTAAGGTCGCATCAAATTCTCAAATAAAGGAAACGCCTCACTTCCTACAAATACGAAAGGCATTGGATCCTCTATTGGAGATAGTACTACAGGTAATGGAATATGTAAAGTATCTTCGATCATTTCTTTAGCAACAACACTTGGGTTGAAAATGCTTCCATCACTAAACCTTTCTGGAGATCCTACATCAATAGCAATGAATTTATAGTCTGAGTCGGCGATAGCCATTACCACGACAGATAAAGTGTGTTTATAATTTAAATAACTTGATCCAGTTTTTCCAGTTTTTTTTATCACAACATGTTTTCCATCAATAGCACCAATGCAGTGCGGAAATTGCCATTTTCGATCGAAACCAACTTCGATTGATTCCCACTGTTCTTTTGTGGGTTCCGGCAAAAACAATGGTTGCATTATTTTCCACACAGCTTGTGATACTTCCAGCACGATATTCGAAACCGTTCGTTCCCCCAATCTGTAGCTGAATGCAATATCTCTGTATGAGTTTCCTGTCGCCAAATACCTAAAGCAAAAAACAAACAAAAACATTAGAAGTGAATAATTATTTTGTAGCTATTTTTTAATGTTTTAAGTCAAGAGCAAATATATGAACACATCTAAATTCCCTCTCCACACTTTTGTTGCAGGTATTGAAGCGAAAGCGATCTGGGAGAAACTGAGACATTTACTGAGAGATGCTCTCGGAAGACAGCAAAAATGCATGAAAAGTGGAGCACTGGCTCAACCTGTTAACAATGGAAATACCATATACGACAAATAGAACACGAGAATGGAACCTAAACAAAGACACTGGCGATAGTGAAACTCCATTTCATAATTGTGGCTCTCCAACTGAAGTAGTTGAAGAGCGTGAGTCGAACGAACAGCAGGAAATCAGAAGTGTTCTTGATGAAGCTCTAACATTAGAGCCTCCTGAAATTTCAACTCTGACTCAAGCTGTGGTTCTTACTCCGACAGTCATCGACACATGATCTGCTAAAACAAAAAAAAGAAACTGTTACTGGCTTACTCAAACAAAGCATGGAGCAACATTAAAAACGAAGAAAATCGAGAACGGAAGACATAAAAAGGATTTTGTAACAAATGATTGCTCAAGGGATCCTCTCTATCACTTCTTCGTATGTACGAGGCGACCAAAAAGTTACCTAAAATTGATATTTGTGACTTTTTCAGCAATTTAACTTCAGAGAGTATATATCACCGTTTCATTGTCATCGTCATATGTCATCGTTTAACTTGATCATGTTTATTCCATAAAGATTTTTCTGTGAAAACTACATTTGTAATTTATACCTATTGTGTAGATACTTCAATTCTATATCACGTAAAAAGCTCTTAAATAATCCCTTATCAATAGGTTTGTTTTTGATAGGGACAAATTACAAATTCTATATTGATAACTACGGGCCGATTTTGGTGAGCTAAAACATCGCCAAAAATTATCAATTAAGTGCTCTTAAAATGTTTTTAAAATGCTATAAAAGCAAAGAAAATTGACGTAAAAATGTTATCAAAACCAGTTGAGATGATGAACAACAGCACGTACATTCTCGCGATATTGTAAATGGGCTATGTAATATTATAATAAGAGAATTTCTGTCTTATTATAATAACCATTTGAAATATGAAACAAACAATGCAAGAAAATACATACATCTTTACTTTCCCGTATAAATACGTATATACAGAGTAATATAAGTAGTATAGGGAAAGATAAGAAATGCTGCGCGAAAAACTGTAGATTTTCGGTAGAAAAAAAGCATTGCCGTGTCCGGTAACGAAAAAGAGAATACATCCAATTGTTAAATTAAGAAAAAAGTTCTCTAACACGTGTTGTACCCAGAATCCATGTTTTATGGGCCCTTGATAACGAAAAATCGATTGACGGCAATTTTATAAGTGTATTTTATACTATTTATTAACGTCCGTCCGTCTGGTGTATTTGAACACTAGCGTACTATTTTTACTATCTTTTTTTACTATCTATTTATCTATGCGTACGATTTTTTTCCAAACTGAATAAACCCCTGTCCATTTTGTGTGATTTGGTTCAGAGCTCTCCAAATTTGAAGAACATTCATTAATTTTTAGGAGTACTTTATACGAAGCACCTGAGACATTTTCAAAATTTTCTCAAAAAAGGCTCCAAATTTTTCTCGTAAGAATAGTGTAAAATACACTTATAAAATTGGCATAGGTTTCATTTTCACTGAATTTCAAAAGTTTGATTTTTTGCGATTTCCTACAACTACAAAATTGAAGATGAAATGTGTTCTCCATATTTAGTCTTTTCACGTCATGTACATTTTTCAAAATTTTCGAGCAATATTGTTTGGAATTTGTGCAATTTAAAAAACAGCAAAAATAAGATTACCTCAAAAACGGCTACAAATGTTTTTTTAACATTTGGTACGTGTAGTGCTGTATGTACTCTATAACATGGCATAAACGTCATATTGATCTATTTTGTGTTTTTTCAAAAATTACAAAAATGTAATGTTTTTGACTTGTTTTTCATATCGTTAATATTTAGATTAGCGGCAATTTGTTCGAATTATGAGTACATGTGCAGTAAATTATGTCATATAAAGATTTTCAAAAACTCAGCAATTTTCGTGAAAATGAGCTGAAAATTCCGCCTTTTCACAAACACTCAAACCCCACTTTCTCGAAAACGGTTCCAATTTTTTTCTTCATACTTTTCGAACGGTTAGAGCGAATTGCACTAAGATGACTTAAAATTGGTTTTACTGTATTCATAAACTGTTTCATGGTATACTGTTTTAAAAAGAATTACACAAATGTATTTTTTTAAAATATTTCTCATGCCTTTAAAATGTACATTTTCAGCAATTTGTAAACACCATTGCATTTGTGACTATAAGTGCTTGAAATGACTTTATATAACGTTTTTCAAAAACGCAATGGTTTTCTGTAAACTGAATTTATAGAAGCGTTTAACGCCATTTCTTGAAAAACAGTTCCAAATTTTTCAATGAAAACAGCCATTTATGACGCGGTTTTACGGTTCTTTAATATTCTTAAAATAATATTTCCGTTCTACTATTAGAAAACCGAAAAAGTAAGAAAATGTTTTAAAAAATGTACAATGTACTTTGAGAGGCGATAGTTTGCAGCTGGCAAGAGTATGTGGCAAGTTTGAATAGCCAGCCGAAACCAAAGGAAATAGAATACTAATACGGGAAAGTCTTTGTCATTCTGTAGCACCACTATTTTAAATTCAAATGCTTAATCGAAAGCAGCTCTCTGCCATTGAATTTAATGTATTCACTTTCTACATAAATGTACCAACTATATAGGATTCGTACTTAAGCCGTAAATAAAATTATTAGTTTTTATTAACACGAAAGAAAAGGCAGCACTCATTATTGCCTTCTGTTATCAGTGCGGCATTACATTAATGGTTACAAGCAACAATAAGCGCTAATTCGTATTTTATAGATATTTTGCCAATTAGCATTGTTGATTCTATCAAGAAAAGAGTAAATAAGAAGATTTTTTCTGAAGGGGTATCCATATGGAATTTTGTACTTCAAGATCACATAATTTAACGACTGTGGGTCGAAGCTAAAAAAACACGACTTTCTCAACGGAAAAGTCGTAGGCAATCTGTTTCACAAATACACTAAATGTTTCACACTAGCAAAACAAATTACACACACAAATTAGACTCACAAAAACTGACATGGGCGCCTAAGCAACGTATTTAGGCGTCACATTTGATCGAAAGATGCCGTGACATTTATGTGTCAGGTGAATTCGATAAAAATTACAGCACAGAGTTCGACCCTTACAACCTCTTTTGAGGGAACCTACACTCCCCTTGGAACTTCGCTTGGCACTCTATAAAACGTGTTACCGACCTGTTGCCAACTTCGCTGCGGCAACGTGGTGTACAAGGATATGCTTGAGCTAGTATAGAATAAAGTTCTGCGGTTTAAAGCGCTCCCTCCGTTTCGGAAACGGCTGAAAGTACTGAGGAAGGAACTTGATAACGAGTCCTTCACTTAATGCTTGAAACGGCTTTCGTTTAACGAATCCTATCAAATCTTTCACACCAACGAAACTCCGGCAACGCTTAAATAATTAGCTCCACATGTCCTCACTATTCGACAAAGAAGACAAGCATTTCCCTCGAATATTCTGAGGTCATAGCACAACACAAAAGCCTACTTGGTTACCGACTTAGATGTGTTTAACGTAAGATGTGACCCGCAATACCAACCTCCCATAAACCACCCACCATACTTAGTACGTTGGCTTAGGGACCATGGTTTTTAATTCAAATGAGAGGAAGTAGGAGCCAACCCCAACTTAAATCCCCATGTAATGGAAGGTTTGCAGCCAGGAACATTTTGTTCCTTGGAGATTTGCATTCATGCTGACAAAATAAGTGTGCGCCAACTTCAATCGTTGAAGCGGCAAAACGCTCTGTGGCGCGCAGTGGAGATCTTGAGGTTAAGCGTGTGAGCAGAATCCCGCACTTGCATATTGAAAAGAACATTTAAATGAACATGAACAAGAACATACACTATGACCATGTATATTTGAATCAAGATTATTTTATTGACATTTATTACTGTATTACAGAGACCTTATACAACGCTGACAACCGTAAAGAATTACAAGGTAGGAAATCCTGTTGAAACTCCGTTTGGATCTCACTATGACCCAGAAAAGGTATTGCTTGAATTTACTCGATTGTGTATGTGTGACATACTAGAAATCCCCTCCAAGGTATTTGATAAAGGGGAGTATACATCGAACATATGTTTACTTTAGAATAATATGCAGGCCGAGGAATACACGTCAAGACAACGAGTAAACAAATTTTGTGTTCCGTGCTCGAGGGTCTGGTCGTGATTCTTTTAAGAGGCATGTCCTCGGGACATAATGTTGAATAAATGAAAAGACGGCACTGAAAATCGAGTTTGCGCGATTATTTAGAATAGGCCAGTCTTTCTCTTGGAAGCAATATAATTAGACGGTAATAATTTTGCAGACAGGCTGGGTAATATTTTGATGTTAGGAAACGGGAAACATGTTAATTGTGTGATTTGTCATGTTATGTAATTTGTAATTTGAAACCATTATTCTTAGCTTGCGTTATTGCGAGTCTAGGTGTAGGAAGGGAAGTTATTTTATTAGGGAAGATGGGTTATTTTGTTTAAAGATTCCTGTGCAACGGGGAAAGGAGGACGATAGAGTGGTGATGGGTTGGAGGTGGAGGGAGAGGTAGGGAAGGGATGAAGACTTTGTGACGTGGGAAAAACTATTCTTGTTATTTTTATTTATTGTAGTCTGTATAGTACGTTTTGTCTATGTAATGTGTGTTGTTGCGTTATGTCTTCGTCGCAGTCACTCCTGCCTGTGTGCCCTCTGGCTCAAGTGACGGGAGGAGGGAGTTGCAGGATGTCGAGTGGATGTTGTTTTCGGGTACTTCGGAGTGGGTTTCGGAGGATGTGGTGATTAAGTTTTCGGAAGAGAGATTTATTGATATATTTCTTGTGCATGCTATTGATGTGTGATGTCGGTATGTAATGATGTGGGGAATTTTGTGATTCGATTTTGAAGAATGAAAGGAGGTGAATGTGAGTGGGCAGAACATGGTGCAGAGGACGTGGTTTTCTGCTTGGGTGATTTTTATTCGATTTCTTTGGGAAGTGGTAAACCAAGTGGGATTGGCGAAGGAGAGGATAAGACGGATGTGTGTATAATAGGTTTTAATTTTCTTTTTGATTGGAAAGGTTAGGTGAATAAAGATGGGATTTGGCGCTCAAGGGATTCGGTTGGTTCTGATGGTATTGTCGTGGATATGGTTGGACCAGAGGAGACGTTGGGATAGAGTTAGACCTAGGTAGGACCTCCTATTGATAACTAAAGCTCAGTTTTATATGTAGTAACTAGTGGTGCTACAGGATGGCACAGACTTTCTCGTATTCGTTTTTTTAAAATTTTCTTTGGTTTGGGCTAGCTATTTGGACTTGCCACATACTCTTGCTAGCTGCCATCTATCGCCGCCCAAGCTACATTTTTAAAAATATTTTATCAATTTGTCGGTGCCCTAAAGATAGAACTGATATTTTTCTTTAAGAATATTAAAGAAGAGTAAAACCTTGTCCTAAAGGGCAATTTTCATTGAAAAATTTGGAGCCATTTCTAAGACAATCGCGTTCAAGCGTTGCAAAAGCGATATTTAAAGCTCTCTTTCACAGAAATTAAGTTTTCGACAAACTTGAAATGAAGTCATTTGAAGCACTTTCACTTATCAATGTAATAATGTATACAAATCACGTGAAACGTGCTTACTAAAAGCGTGACAGATATTTCAAAAAAATACATTTGTCTATTTTTTGAAAAAAACAAAAGAATATCCTAAAATTAAATTTATGTCATATTGAACAGCGCAATTAGCACTATCCGTTGATGAAGTTTGAAGAAAAAAATTAGGACACATTTTCGAGAAAATGGAGTTTGAGCGTTACTGAAAATGCAGAATTTTGAGCTAATTTTTCCAAACATTTGTTCAGATTTCGAGAAACATCATGTAAGATGACATTTCGAGAAACGTGGACATTATTTAAAGCACGTGTATTCATAAATGGAATAATGGAAATAAACCATTGCTAATGTAAATATTAATGACATGAAAGACAAGACTTACATTTTTGTTATTTTTGAGAAAACAAAGGAAAAGAGCAATATAGCGCTTATGTCGTCTTATAGAGTTTACAGAGAGAGACATTTGCAGACATAGAGTTCAGAGAAAATCTTGTTTCTGTTATTTTTTTTAAATTACACTTATTGCTCACAATATTGTGTAAAAACTACAATTTTAAAACACAAATAAAAAAACTACATGATAATAATGAAATAATTAGTAATGGTGGAAAAAATTATTTTGAAGGAAAAATCTCTATCTCCAATATTGTAGTTGTAGGAAGTTGCCAAAAAATGTAGACTTTTGCAATTTTTAAAAATTCAGAGTTAACAGAGAAACGGCCCCCTTTATAAGTTCATTTCAATATATTCTTACAAGAAATTTCAGGAAAAAAATTAGCCATTTTTAAGAAAGTTGTGTTCGCATACACCAGCCGGACGGACAGACTGATGGACGGACGTTTTCTTAGGGGAACCCAAAATGTTGAAATCTTGAAATCGATTTTCCACACCATTTACATACACTTTTTATGTAAACAATGCGAAAACGATTTGAGATATCAGCGGAAATACAATACTGACAGACGGACGGACGTTTTGCAACACAAAACAATACAACACCTTTTCTGCATCAGGGGACCCAAAAACATTTATTTCCGTTGATATCACGAATTGATTTTCCGCAGCATTACATAACTTTCCCTATACTGCGTACAATTCTCCGTATGTACGTATACATATACTTTATACAAAAATGTTTTATACTCTCATACGTTAAAGCTCATAATTTGTATTTTGCGCAAAAAATTAAATCAATGGGAAATTTGGAATATTTTACCAGACGAAAAATGCTTTTCACTAGAGTTAATAAACACTTTTGCATGAAAATACTGAGTTTTATCATTTAACTGTAAGCTCAATTGTTTCCCTCTTTCGAATAAAATTTTCTTGGTTACTGGGAATAGCGAAAAGAAGCATAAAACTGTCTTTGCAGTCAGTAAGATAAAACCGACATAAAAGTCAGCATTATTCCGGATCAGCTCCACAAACATGACCTGGCATCATTTGCCAACAAAATGCACATTACGTCTATTGAGAACCGTTTTCAAACTAAAAGGGAATTACTTTGCATTTGAATTGTTGCGGTATATATTGTCAAAAGATGTAACTAGGTTCTTTATATCATTGATAGGTCCATGTATTGTTTGACAATCACCTGGCCTTTAGTGGCGTAACGAAATGAGAGGGGACTCGCCAACAAAACTTTCCTCCGGCCCCCTTCATAAAAAGTTTATAACACACACAAGTAGTGAACTCTATGATTACTACATAAAAAATCAATGTTATAAACAGATTATATTGATTTAGAATCAGGGTAACATAAGCTACAAAAGCGGGGAAAAATCCTTGTGGAAGATTTTCAATCTTTTATTGTATGATCGTTAAGTATCAGAGAACGTATTACGTAATTAATATTTCAACAATCGCAAAATCTTCAGCGTAAAAATAGGCCCTCTTTTACTTGGGCCCGCCCGCATTGCGGGGCCGAACGTTACGCCACTGTTAGTCTTTTATTGTCTAAATTTGTAAAATGACACGTTGAAACAATTAAAATTTTTATTGTTTGTTGTGTTTGTTTTAAGGTGCATTTTAAAAATTTATTCAAGAAAAGACGAGGTGATTGTCAAATAACACATGTATCCATCAACTATATAAAGAACCTAATAAAAAGAAAATGAACTTCATTCGAGACTAACAATAATGACGTTTTTTATGAACGTTGGTAACTACAATTTATCAGTTTCAAGAAGCTTGATGTAAGACTTATTTTAAAATGGGCCAATTATTCACTACTGTTTAAATAAATTACCAAGTTTCTCTTATTGAAAAATGTTGCAAGAACAGAAATATGCAATACCCATTTGCGAAAATGTGGAAAATAAAATTCAGCAGGAATTCTCCAAAAGAACTGATTAGTAAATTTTGATAATTTTCTAAGAAATCATTAGTTAAAAAAATATACGCATTTGCAAACAAATCCGGACTCTATTAATAACTAAAATACAAAGACTTACTTTAAAAATACTGCTAGTTTTTCCTCGGTTCCAATGGGCCTTGAGGCGTTGCAGCCTTCTCTGCAAATTTCATTTTGGATAAGATCATGCACTTCTTTGAACTGAACTCGGTTTAATCTAAAATAGTTCTGAAATTTGTCATCATCAAATTCCTTAGTTAGAGCGAATTCTCCATGTGTTTCTCTTTTCTTCGTGTAATCGCTTCTTTCTCCTTTTTGCTCCAACAAAACGGCATAACATAAAGTTTCTAACTCGAGCTCACTTTCGGAATCAGATTCAGAACTCAAATCCAATAACATCGCGGAAATACTCGACATTTTCGTCAGCGCTGGAGTGAACTGCGTCTCGTGTTGCGGTGATCACCGCTGTGACTCACTCTGCTGTGAGGAATTCGGCAAGTCACGCTGCGTTAAGTCACGGACCGGCGTCTCTTTTTGCGACTATATTATAGCCTTACCGGTATTTTAAATAGAAATCTCTTCTTGTACAATCGTAGAAAAAAAAATTCTATACTCTTTAGCACGAGTGTCATAATGCCGCTCCCGTATTAAGCAAACTGTAAGCAAATCTCGCACCATCGTTGAAAAAATTACATTTGTCCAAGGTTTATACCTGGCAACGAAAACTTCCAAAACTGATCGTACATCATTTACGTTGCCTTTTCCAAGTGAAGTTCCTTCGAAGTTTTTTTCACGGCTCGGTCTGTCCAGTCGTGACCAATCCCAGACCAATCCCTTCTCATGACGCGTCAGCTGGGCCTTTCGCCTAACTCCTCTTTGGTTGTATGAGTTTTTTCTTCCTACACATTCGTGTTGAAATTTCGTATGTATAGCAATTTGAAACGCAGTATCATGTGTCATAATATTTACTATCTACGAGCCTTATGAATAAAGAACGCAAAGGGATCGCTTGTTTTGAACATATTCCATTTACAATTCACAATCGCGCTTATCGCTTTCGCTGAGTCTTCCTACATGTCATTCAGGTTTTATAACTTTGTTATTCAAGAATAGCACTCAACACGTGAAAATTAATACAGTTTGCACGGGAGAATTGATATAAGAAGTACAATGCAGAAATAAGAACTATTTATGGACAATAGGATTATTTTTGCGCTCGTTTTGCAATGTGCAAGTTCTGTGACAAGTCATTTGATCTTTGATCGACGTGGAGGGTTTTCATTAGTAGGTATGATGTGACATAGTGTTATTTTAGAGATAAAATATACATCTTTTGGATTGTTAATAGCTCATTACCAATTTGTGGTAAATTTTGACATAATAGTGAAAGAGGACAGTTTTAAGAAGTAGCTGGGAATGCTACATATGGTGCTTTTCGATTTCATTTGTAATCGTTTCTTAACTGTTAACTGGACGGAAAGAATGTGATAATCGTGAAACGAGAATCGTCAACATTGTTTATGAATGCAGTTCGTTCCTCAAGAAAGAAATTCTTTGATATTTGCCAGTATTGTGTTCTCGTGCCTGTTCTAGTAGATGAAAGGACTGCAGTATGATGCAAGGCGATGATATAAATTCCGGCTCAAGGAGTAACATTGTAGTACAGGCTTGGAAATCTTTACAGCAGGTAAACGTTTTTTTTTTATCTAAATACATTTAGCGAATACAAAATCCATAAAAATGCACACATATACATACATTCATTCCACTATGTAAATATTGTAAATTTCTAGGCCACTCCTGTTGATATATGATATTAGTGAGTTGTGTAATATTAATTTCCCTAAGTCTCATTGTTATTTAATTGTGAAGATATGTTGATAAGAATGTTAAGAAATGTAAATGCCTCAAGTAATGTCATACCCTTGAACCTCTAACCTAACCTATAGTAATGTCCTGTAGATAAGAGATATTAGATAGTTGACATTAAGTTTGATTTTTATTTTCTGGTGCATTGAATTCATTGCTTTAGTTCATGAACCTTTATAAATAAATTTCAATGTGAAGTCAGCCATTTTTATGTTAATTTTTTAATGTTCTAGTTCCAGTGTTGCAGTTTTATGTTTGAGTACCTGTGAATGTTTTAAAATTACTTTACATAACACACATTTATTAATCAAATCTGTTGTAATTGTAAGGATATTGACATTCTTTTATAATTATTGGTTATTTTACTGACATTTAAAGATTATAGTAGTAACTTGAAAAACCTGATCTTACAGTAAAGGATATAATATGTTTTTAAAATATGTTCAATGATATTTCAGAGATATCAAAAAATTTTGGATGATGTGACTCCATATTCAGCAGTCCGATGGGTTTTTGCTGCTTTCCTAGAGCTGCTTTTCCTTGGCCGAGTATTTTTATTACAGGTATAACTTGATATGTTGTAATAGATGCAACACAATATAGTATGAACATATATGTTTATTATAAAGTGTATACATGTTTTCCATTTTGAAGTGTCATGATTGAAGGTTTAATTCAGTATTCCATTCTACTTGTTTCAGGGGTGGTATATTGTTACCTATGCCTTGGGAATTTATCATCTTAATTTGTTCATAGCATTCCTCTCACCTAAGATAGATCCTGCTCTTGATTATGACGGTAAATACTCTTGAGATTTTCATGTGTGCAATCTTGCTTGGTGAATCAGTTTTACTTTCTCGTATACATAAGTATATTTCTTAATTTTATACATCAATATTGGTCTAAAATAGAAAACTTGAAGAATTTAAAAGTAGATTTATAAAGTTTCTGTGTAATTTACATATATCACAGCGTGTTGTTTGGGGATATTGATATGTACAAACAATTATTGTATTAAAATAATGCAATTAAAACTGACGAAGATAAAAATGTCCAAAGTCAGTAATTTGTGATTATTGGAATATCATCTTACGAAAACTTACATTATAATACATGCATTTGTCCTGTATGTGCAACTACTTGTGTGGAGTGGTTAAGATTTACTTAAAAGTAAAGTAATGGATATCTGTTTTGCTATGAGAAAACAGAATGTCCATTTACTTATAAACTTGAACTTAAATCAACGAAGTTTGGGAGGCTCTTGTACAGTAAAAGAGAGAGAATTGTTGTACACCCATGTTTCCAAAAATGTTGACTTTTTTTGGGAAAAGTTGATTTAAAAGGACTTCCCATGAATATTCAGTGGCAAATATTGCGAATAATATTTCTATCTACTGGACAACTTGTGATTGACAGAGGAGACGGGGTTCCATTATCCAATCAGAGGCTTCAAATTGTGATGATGCCACTGCAGATTGCCGATGCTTTTTAAGAAAAAATTGAAATCTCGTAGTGCGAAGCAACTGTAAGTTTAAGAGCCCCATTACTACTTTGGTTATGCATCATGTGTGTGCTTCTGTGTCGTCTACTGTGTGCTCTTATTGTGGTTTGTTTCTTGCTACTATTGCACAGGAACGACCTCACAATCTTGTATCTGTCCCCACCCCAGCTGTCTAGTTGACAGAAATATTATTCGGACAATATGTGTAACAGATAGTGTTGAAGATGTCAGCTCTTATCAGCGATGCACCGAAGCAAATTTGTAACTCAGTTATTTCTTTTTTGCCTAAATTTGCAAGCTTATGAACTGTGAAAATAATCTTATTCATAATGAGTAAAGACGACTTTCACATACTATGAAGACCTAACATATGTTTGCAGACATGCACAATCAAATAGCCAAACATGCATAAGGGGGAAAGTCAATGAAACATGCACTATCAACTTTTAGCACAAAAAAAAAAGGTTTTCTATTCAGAAAATGATCGTTCTTTGTCAAGAAGAGCGAATTCAAGGACAGAAAACGTTCTCCAGATCACTTTTTAGAAGTCGGAATACTGTTAACTTTCTTGCAGGGTATGTCTTTGTGGTCAGGCATGCAACTGTTGGCTAAGGTTCTTCACTTTCAGCTAAAATGTGACCACAAATTTTTCTGTAGTACTGGCAGGAAGTAAATATGTTGTAGGTGTATTTTTCGTTATGAAATAGAATAGATTTGTAGTTTCTTTGTGTTCAAACTTTGAAGAATTTTAAATGAGCAACTTAGAAATAAAAAAAAAAGAAATCTATCCAAAAAAAACTGTAAATGTGCATTATGTGAATTTCTCCCAAAACTACAAAGTTCATATAAGTATTTTAAATTAGTATGCCTGAAATGTATTCTCAAAGTTAGAAAGCTGTGTAAGCTTGCACGAAAATGTGAATTTGCATGGAAATCCAGTCTATTAATGGGTGTTTTTGAACAAATGTTCTTCATTCATACCCAGGAGCCACCTCCCAAAGGTTGAAGAGTTAAGATTTGCCCTGAGTTTGACATAAACTTGTTAATGTTTAATCAGATTTTGAAGATGTTATAGATTATTGATCCTTACTACATGATAAATATATACGTGTTAAATTTTTGACTTGTGTGTTAATCTACTACTTATTATTTGAGTTTTATTATGGTTTTGTCATTATACTGAACCAGAATTTTGTTATTTGTTTCCTAGATGAGGGTCCAGAGTTGCCAACTAGAGCCAATGAAGAATTTCGACCATTCATTCGTAGGCTCCCAGAATTTAAATTTTGGTATTCAGTTACAAAATCAACAGTTATTGCAATGATTTGTACATTCTTTGACTGCTTTAACATTCCTGTATTTTGGCCTATTCTTGTAATGTACTTCATTACTCTGTTCCTCATTACAATGAAACGCCAAATAAAAGTAAGTTTTTCTCAGTTCATTTATTTATATAAATGCATAATCAACATTGATTTTTAATTTTGGTTCCTTTTTCTTTTAGCACATGATAAAATATCGATATCTACCCTTCACGCATGGAAAACCCAAATACCAGGGCCATGAAGATACTGGCAAGGTGATTAATTCTAAGTGACATTAACTTCAAGCTAAGACAGCTGATACAAGGGTTATGAGCGCTGACGTGTATATTTTGTTCATTAAATTGCACCTGTTTTTGAAGGAATGCTAAAGTCTCTGACAACAAACTATTTATCATGTTTAACATCAGACTTGTGACTTTTTGTGATAAGGGAGGGAATAGTGAGAATAGAAATGGATACTTCTTTGAACAAAAAACTTTGTAGGGAATAAATGCTAGCCATTTGGTGTTAGCAAAGCCAGTCACCTAGTCATTGGTGCAAAGTCAGGCTCACCCTCATGTCATGTGTATTTCTCATTATTTCATCAGTGCATGGCCATTATGTCATCTTGAAGTACATATAGTAAGTGAATTCTAATCATGAGAAGTTTAAAATAAATAATACCCATATCTGTTATGTATGTATAGTTTGTTTTATTTTCACTCCTCATGAAACTGAAAAACTGTAGTATTATTCAGGGGTGTATTTTCATTTTATTGTAGTCGGAAAGTGTAACATTGGTGCCCGGGGCGGTGCGAGAAGAATGAAGCAAGATTGCATTTTTCTCTGAAGGTAACTCTCCTCTGCGGGCCAGCAATCCAAGCTATCTGCTGTTTCCTCCCTCCCCAGTACTTGTTTATCCTTTCCTGGAAAAGGAGGGATGAAGTTTTTCTCTGGGCATTGCCACATGACAGGTGTTCTTCAGGTGCTCGAGGTGACTTGTGTGAATTTTTAAAGAAAATGTTATGTAATTGATGTGACAGTGGACTGAAGCTCATCCTTCCAATATAGCTTGTACTTCCTAGCATTGTATAATTTGTGTAGTTTGACACCCCCAGCGGTGCTATGGTGGTTGTGCTTGTGGGCAGTATGAGAAACTGACATTCAAAGAAACTATGCACATAAGGAAATGATTAAATGAGTCACCTTAAAATTACTGTGTATTTATTTTACATGTTTTAAATTTTTTTAATAATATTTTAGTAGAATGCTCTTAAATAATTACACTATGTTCAATTTATAGTGCTAGTATTTTCATAAATAATGCTGAATCCAATTTATAAAGCCTGTATCCTAGAAACAGTCATGGAATGAATACTTTGTGAAGTGAAAAATAAAACTTATATCTTTTGTTGTTTATAATTGAATATGGAATATATTAATATAGAAATTTTTAAATATTAGATTTCCTGATGAAAGAAGAATATTTAGACCATATTTGAAATAATCATGAGGTTCTTATTGATTTGATTTTAGTATTGTTTACAATATTGTTTTTGTAAGCATGTATGTTATTTTATTTCAAATTTGTCATGTGCATCTGATCTTCAATATTCCTTAGAGATCTCTTTCAAGTGGTGTAATTGATCGTACCTAGTGTAAAGGTGCCCTTTATTATTGTCATTGAATAAGTTGTTGAAGGGAAAAAGTGTTTGTCTTCTGACCATAATATTTTAAGCATGTGAGAATTGTGCGATTGGTTTTCTGTCACTGTAATTTAATTTTTTTAAACTGCCTGAAACGTTGAAACAAATAAACAAGCATGCAAGTAGTGGGAGTAATTCATGACAGAGAAAGACACACTCTGCTCATAATCAGCAGATTACAAGAATACCTAATTGTTTTAAATTCTTGGGTTTCAGCAGCAGCTACTTTAAATAATATTAATAACATCTCGTGACCAAACCATTCTAAAAAATTGGTGTGGTTGTGGACATTCAGATTCAGCCCACTTTTCCAATTGGAGTGAGGAGAGTTCTTTTAGATTCAAATTTTGATGCACACAATCCTGGTACCTCTCGTTTCTTAGGTATTTTTCCGTGTTTTTGTTCTTGCTCGTAAACTTGGCTAGATGCTTTTAAGCAATGTAACATAGTCATTGTAACAAGTAAAAAGAGAAGAAAGAAAAAAAAGGGGGAAAAAAAAATCTGAATCCTGGGACACCTTCCTAAATGCCTCCTCTTTAAAAGAAAGGATGAAGAGAAAATATTTATTAACATAATGAACCAAGAAAAAGGGCTAAAGTTACATCTTTGGTGGGTGTTTTTTTGTCAATATCTTTCATCTATTGAATGAAAATTGTGTTTAATAGAAAAGAGTGGAAATCAATATGTACAGTGTGTGGTGTCAAGAAGGATGTAGTGTACATTGAATCTGTGTGCTATATGAAAGAGTGGATAGTTTTCGTTTACAGAATATCATTTATATTCTCAGTTTTATTTAACTGTGTATTCATATGTTATTAAAAATTTAATAAAGTGAGGAATTCTTGCAAGAGACTGTTTCTGGGCAATTGTGACTGTGGGGCCATCCATAAATTATGTAATGCAAATTTAGAACATTTTGAATACTCCTAATCTCTATAATGCACCTATAACACACACTTGAATCCCTCCCCGCTCAAAAATAATAATAGTAATGAAAATAAGTATAATAATAAAAAACACGGAAATCACGGGGAAAAAACAGAACCCCCTACCGTTTAAAAAATTAAAAAAGGTATGACAATACATGAAGTTGGAATTAAGTGGCAATGGTGACTTCACCTAACAAAGATAGGTAAACGATTTTTACAAGAAGAAAGCGTTGGTGAGAAAATTTCCGACTAGTGCACATGTTGTGGAGGGCACATGGGTGAGAATCTACTGCGTCAATTTAATCGTATTCTAGGATATTCTACAGATCAGTTTCAAATACTTTCTTCCTGATATTTCTAAAATTCAATCAGTATACCATTGATAAAAAAAAAATTCAATTATTATAAACATTTAGGCATTATAACTTTTTAATGTACGTTCATGTTTTAGTGTAAGACAATTACTTAACGAAATTTGAAAAGAAAAGAAAACACATATCAGTGTAACAGAACAATAAATTAACACCCCCTCTTCTCCTTGTAATGCAGCATAACACTTCGTCAAACCTGCTCCCCTCTTTTTAGTGTTACATAATTTATGGATGATCCCTACGTATGAATGTAGAAGATTGTGATAAGCAAGGAAAGGTGAATGAACATGTTTCTGTTGGTTCAGTCGTTCCCATGATTCCCATTTTTGTTGTTTCAATTGAGTGGCTAAGAGGAAATCATGTGCATTCGTGTGTTAGGAATACTCTTCTAGAAAAGAAGAAATTGAATAGAGATAATTGAGGAGAATAACAGCAGATATCAGATTGAGATATTTGCAAAACGTTACATTATCTTGAACTGTTGGGGACTGGTTAATTGTTTCACAAATTTTGTTGATTTTTTTTAATTGGAAAAATGATCAGAATTGAAAATTGAGATTTCCTATATTTATTATATTAAATTAAGTAATAAGATCCATTTCAGGATTTTCACTTTCTTTGTTCTCAATACCATCATGAAAGAGGTATTAAATGATTATGATATGGTCACATTTATCGAATATTGTAATGAGTAGCGAACACAAATATCTGCACTGTTGACATACGTCATTTCTTTCCTAAGAAAATATATTAATTTTCACTACATACAAATTTTGAATATGGAATGTGAGATTTTTTGTATGTTCCTATTTGAATTTTTCAATTGATTCTTTCAATTCCAACACAAATTTTGGAATTAATTGGAATCTTAATTCTAAGCATTTTAATTGTAAATACAAAAATATGCTGGCTGAACTGACTACTAATTCTCAAGTGTAAATCCAGTGCATGGAAATTATTAACATTTTTTAGATGTTACGATCCCCTAGCTTGAGGATAAATTTAATTTTCTTGAAATGTAAGGTCTTGCAGAATTCATTAACTTAATCTTGGAGAGTACTTAATACAAATCCTCTAAATTCAAAAATTTTGATTTAATTATTATTTTTTGACATGAATATTTTATTGATTGGATTTATGGATTATTTTTCTGACATTGAAAATTTATTTTCATTTTTTTCTGATGTGGGAATTGTTGACAATTTAGTTACTTCATTTATAATTTAAAATACTTGTTCATATTTTGATTTACGGGAGCAGTTTTCAATACAAAATCTCACTAAGACTGTCTACAAACAAGTTACTTCCTAAAAAATTTCAGAATGTCTGTAATAATAATGATGATAATAATAGTAATAATAATAATATTAATAATAATATTAATAATAATAATGTTAATAATAATAGTAATAGTAACAATAACAAGTTCAAAAAGACACCATAGTCCAGTCTAATAAATGCTGCAGATGTAACGTGTGGATGGAAAATATAGATCTCATAATTTCAGGATGTGCAACCCTTGCACAGACAGATTACACAATGCGCCCTAACCAGATCTCTTCCATTATACATCAACAAATTGCAACCAACCATAAATATAGTGATCATCATGCCCCTTACTACACATACAAACCTTAACATATGTTGGAAAATGAAAAGGTCAGAATTTATTTCAATTACACTATTTTGATGCACAAGACTAAAAGATAACAGGCCAGGTATTGTGATAACTCTCAAGGAGCCAAATGCTGCAGTCCCTTCCTTCTGGAACACGCAAAAAGCATTCTCAGAAAAAATAAGGAAGTACAGCGATATGGCGTTTCAAATCAAAGATAAATGGTAACAGAACCAAATATTCATCCTCCCAATAATTATCTCCAGCACTGGCCTTAGAGAAAAACATGTCAAAGCAAACTTTCAAAAATTTGATATCCCTCCAAGGGATTTAAATTAATGCAGAAGTCTGTTATCTTAAATACTTGCCGCGTTGTCCGGAACTTTCTAAATTTAGATTGTTAAATAAATTTAAAAAAAAACACTTGGCGGGAACCCCTTCGTTATTTGAAAACTAGGTCTTCCTGTGAACCAGCACTGTGTAAACATAAAATAATAATAAAAACCAACTAAAATGTGAATGGATTATGGAACATCAGTATTTGTACGTCAATTGAGTGCAATTGACGTGCCTTGAAATTAAATTATTGCTGTACTGGTAGTTTGATTGCTTAAAATGTTGACAAATTACAACTGGCCACTGGAGCAGAATGTACAGCATATAAAACTTGAGTGAACCAAACATTGCATATCTTCCCAACTGGAAATTTACAATTTGCGTACACAATCTAAAAATTTTGGTGAGTATCTTCTTGTTCCCTACATTTTTAAAATTTCTGAAACATTTTGACAGAAATAGTGTGGGTTTATGATTTAGATAGTTATTTGCAATACAAGTGGTAATAGTGATATTTTATTTTGCAAGTAGAAAAGGCTGGGACATGAGGCCAAGTGTTGCAATCCTATGAACATAATACAATCACTTTTACCATATATGTCATATGCCATTTTTTTCAGCAGCATTGCAGACATTAATTTTATTTTAATTCACATATATTCATTTAATTGTGAACTATTTTATATTAAGGTCAGTAGTAATCGATGCAATGAGAAGAAAGTAATTTGTTTTCTTAGTTGTTGCTGTAGTAGTTTCTTAGTAGTTGCACTTTTATCTGAACATTTGAGCATCATCTCATTTTTAGCACTAGTGAACTCTTGCAGCATTGAACTTTTGGAGATCCTATATATATGCTCTGAAAAGAGCAAAGAATATTTTTCTTAATTAAATATATTCTTTAAAATTAGATTTGTAAATGTCATGTACAAATTGTCTGAATTGTCTCAAAATTCACAAAGAATTTATGTAAAATGTCTTAACTATTTAATCCCTGGAAAGTGTGCTTACTAGAGATAGAAGTACAGTTTTCATTCAAACTTTTCAAATAAAGCTAAGAGTAATGTACATTTTTCAAACATGTTGCACTTTAATATTTTCCTTATAATAGAGTCTTCCTTTTTCATTTAATTAAAAAAAATAATTATGATGTTGAATCTAACAATGGGAGAAATAATGTAGTTGCAGCATCACACTATGAGATGTTTAATAAATGTTTGACCTTCAGGTTGTGCCCAAAAGCCCTGGAACCCCATCTAATCCACTCTAGGTACTGCCCTTCTGAATCAAAGAGAGAAACTGAAGAAGTGGGTGGGTAAGCTGTAAGTGACTAGAGGGTAAGTGTTGGGGACTGTGGTGTAATGTGACTAGTGTACAGGTAGGTATGTATTGTTGATTAACATAGGTTAACTGTGAAAACTGATCTTATTCAATACACTGGCAGAACCTGACAGACGTTCTGCTTTCTCTGTCTTTTCCCTTGCTTTCTTTCCCCCGACTCTTTTTCCTTCTCTTTTCCCCCCTCTTTCTCCTCCCTGTGGTTAAGTTCTTAAAGACTAATAGAGAATGTGGCACAATGCTTTTTGTTATTTCTATTTTATCACTTATTCAAAATAAAAATTTCACACTCGTGAACTAAGAATTGTCGTTATTCTCTGTTTTGTTGCAAGGGGTGTAGTATTATGAAATGTGTGCGTGCCAGCCAGCAAAACTTTTCACTGGACCCCTTTATATAAGTGTATAGCAAACACGAGTACTATTAGTAGCTTAAAAAATAAAAAATAAAATATCCTTTAAAAAATTCGAATTCATAAGCCTATGATTAATAACAAACAGTGAAAAAATCAGCCTTTATTATTTAATTTTATGAAATAAGACTGTCATAAAACCCAACTGAAATACTTATATTTATCGATTTACAAAACGGTTACATAAGCTACCGAAGCTGAAAAAATCGTTCTTCTGGACGATGATGCTTTTAATCTTTTATTGTCACAACTATCGTGAAGTATTAAGTAATTAATATTTCTTATAATTGTAAACCTTAAGTCTTAACTGGGCCTGCCCGCATTGCAGGCCGAACCTTTCGCCACTGATATAGAATCGTAATACCTGTTTCAGATAATCGCAGTGCATGGAAGAATAAAGGAGTGGAAAGGGACAAATAGGACGGAGGAGGGGCAAATGGGACCGAGGTGGACAAAATGGGTCACGCGAGACAACGGGATAAAGGCCAAAATAGAAAAGAGATAAAAATTTCAGAATCAATTTCTTTTAATACGAAGATTAACTGCATTTCTTTCGGATGGAAAGTTCAAAAATTGTAACTTTAATATATCTGTAACAAAACAATTGTAAAAGAATGTATTCTGAACATTCGGTTTTGTGGCAACATCGTATTTATCCAAAAGTTTATTAGCACTGGCATAGCCAACTATAATAGAAGTCAGCAATGGCATCGGTAAAATATAAACTCAAAAGCCCGCTGAGCTATATTAAGGACTCGGTCGGAAGTTTATTTATTTACGTCAAAAACTGTTAAAAACTGGGTGCGACGTTCTATGGGGAAAAGTTACATTTATGTCCAGAAGCAATACAAGGGGCCCATTCCAGCATTTGCTCAAGGATTAGGGGAACTGGACGAAAACATGATCGAGATGTTTGGGTCATTGACCCAGAAGCTAAAATACAATACTTGTTACAGGTTCTTTAGAAATATACAATTCAAATGATAAATAACACTCTAAATGTTGTTAAAATTAATATTACTTTCCTTTTGGATGCTCGGTATAGTCTCTAATTGTATTGAAACAGTTGTGCAGCAGAATATTTTACTTGGGACTTAAACTTTTGTATCGAATTTAATCGTTTAATGTCATCTGGCAAGGTGTAAAATAATGTTCATGTATTATATGTGAATTTTTTGTAGGAAGCTGTTGATACTGTCACCTGATGAATATGATTACTACGTCGAGTGTTGTAGTCACAGACATCGGCGTTTGCTAAAAATATATTCTCGCCCGTAAGTAAGTCATTTTTGACAAAATTCACTGATTCATATATCAAGAGACAAAGGTAAGGGTAAAATACGTAGATCAATGAAGAGAGGCTTACAAGAATCACTTGGGTGAAATTTACTTATTGTTCGTACAATTCGTTTTTGTAATCTAAAAGTCTGGGAGCTATAAGACGTATTTTCCAAAAATATTATGCCATATGGCGCGAATGAACTTTCGCGAAATATACCCAACGAGCAATACGAAGGCTGACTGAATTTCAAACAATTTTGAAAATGTAGCATAAAGAACTTAATTTAGTGTTCAGTGCATGTAAATGGACGTTTCATTTAAAGTTTTACTGAATTGAAAGACCTAGAAATTTTGTTACTTTAACATCAGTCACTTGCACACCGTTCATTTTCAATGGCGTACAGAGCTGTTTATTTGAAATGAAAAGCCGTATTGAACCCGTTTTCTTTTCATTTACTACTAATCAGTTATTACGGAACCAATTTGAAATATTTTATACTGTACTATTTACGGTTTCTTGATTTGCAAAGAATATCCGTATCATTCACAAAGAGAATGGTTCTTCCGTTTCTAATCGTCTATGGCATATCGTTTACTTTCACTACTTAGCTCCGCCTCGCAGTAAGGCCTCGTCCGGCCTCGTTCCTGAAGACAATTTAGTGGACTTGTTACATAAATAACTATAACTTGTTCCAGTGTTGTACAAGAATATTTTATTTGTTTGTGAATAATGTACGTGCTGCTTTTTGGAGAACCATTTTGAGTGGTTTTATTCAGCAGCACTTTTGCTGCTGCAGGCTACTAATTAGTGTTACACACATTGCTTGTTTCATTTTCATAAATATGTAGTACAAAGTTATGAACACGTAAATGTCACATCCTATGCAGTTTCGTGGCGAAACATTCCATCTGTTGAATTATTGGGTGAATCCCGCCTTTCCAAGGGTGCAACATTCCATCAAAGACGAAGGAATGTTGAAGTTAGTCACTCGTGAAATGTTGCTATTTACATCTTTATCAGACAATAAAAGGTGTTTTTATTAGTTGTTATTATTATAACAGATAACAAAATTAATTACATTCGCAAACCTTTTACAATTTTGTTTCAAGCATGTTTGTTAGCAATGTTGGCACGGATGGGGAACAATTTCTTTCGATTAAGTTTTGACAAATGGGACGTGTTTGAATTTGGAGGTTAGAAATGAAACTATAATAGGAGTAATGATTTGTGAAAATGTACCTAAAATACTTGATGTATTGTACGGGAAGACATAAGTACTCAGTGGGAAAAAACTTCATTCATCTCATCAAGGATGGAAAACCATATCGTTCCTTCCATTTTAATTCTAAGTGCGTTTTAAGAAAAGTTGCAATCCAAGATCTTTCAGTGAAGAGATCCATCAATGAAAGTTTTGATTATGCCATTGAGAAGACTGAAGAAAAGCTAACCCCCAAAAAGCGCAATACAGTGCCCAAACGAAAAGTAGTAGATGAGATTTTAGATTATTTGAAAAAGTCATTCTCTCCAGAAGTGATAAATGCTGTCCCTCACAAATATCTTCGAAGAAATAAGAACACGGATCAGATGTATCTTATTGCACCTGATGTAGCTGGTAATTCGAATTTTGAGAAAATTTATGATTTTATTTAAATACTACATTAGAAGTACTTGGAAGGATTCAGGTCCTAATTATCTTTGTCATCAGAATTTAGTAATAAAATATATTTTATCACAGGTTAATATAATGAAAAACCTTAATTATTTTGCAGATACAATTGTTCAGTGTATGAAGGACAATATTTTAAAGAAGAATGATATTGTGTTGGAAACTAATCCTGGTCTTGGTGTTCTGACAAAAAAGTTAATTGATGCAGGTGTTGAACAATTGCATCTTCATGAACCTTCAACCACGTTTAATAAAATTCTGAAGGTAAGCTTGACTAATTTAAAGTGCAATGATTGCAATTTTAAATATACTAAGCATGGAAGCAACAATTAAAGATGTGAGAAGAAAAGAAACAATGCTGTTGAGAGAAAGTTTGTTGATTGTTATTGATGAGTAATGTAATATTGTGTTCATTTTAGTTGTTGCTTACACTTTATTTATTATTATAATTGTAGGCAACACTAAATACAGAATTTTTGTGATTCAGCGCATGTTATTTACTATTTTTTATTTTTTTTTAAATTTAATTTATTTATTTGTAAATGGGTTTTAACCCTCATATGAACAAATTGATACATAAAAGCTTTTAATATTGAAAGAAAAAATTGACAAGTTTGAACTCTTAAATACTAAAACTACAAAATACAAGAAGGGCACGAAATACCAAAATGATATAAAAACAAGTTGTTACATAAAAATGAAGAATAAAAACTAGAGTCACAATTTGTTAACAGTAAAAGTGCAAGGCACAAATAAGAAATAAAACAAACAAAAATAAAATACTAAGAGACCTGAAGATTAAGAAGAAAGTTATTATATAATACTTAATACAAATTGAGAGTAACACAATTTTCACAGTAAAAGTAATAAAAAGCCCATAAACATATTAGTTAAATTTAAACTACGACTCGAAAGCTAATAGTGGGATGCCAAACTGTTCTATTTTCATTCCAAATATATTCTCTACTCTTGGAGTCAGTGCACCGATATAAAAATTGAGAGTAACAAAATCAAATACATTTTCAATATAGAATGAAATAACATATTGTGACTTAATATAACATCACAAAATCCCCCCAAATAGAATAATGAAATAAATTTTAATAATACATTTTGCACTATTGTCATATTTTGCATGTACACACATTAATTTTTAAATATTGTCATGTGGATTCTCTGTATAGACTTCCTTGAATAAAGAATTAATGTACCGATGCAATAAAGTAAGAGTAGTAAATAATGTGGTGCTACTGTGAAAACAGTTTTAAGCTGTCACCAATGGTTCCAGCAAAATTTTACTGTTAATAGAGGTGTTTGCTTAAACAACGTTCAGTAACTGAAGGTGGCAATCAAATATAACACCCCCCAGTAGAAAAGTGTCGTAACTCAAACATAGTGATTTTTCAGGAGAGCGCTTTAAAGGTTTGAAATTACATGATCAAATCGTGTTTATGATCAACAAAGATTGCCAATAATTGACTAAAGTAGGCTTAAAAAGAAATGGCACTATTCTAGGATGCAAGAGCATAAAATTTTAAATAATGTATTTAACTCAAAATTCAATTTTTTTGAGTTATTACACTTTTCTACTGAGTGTTTGATAATTGTGTTAATTGCTATGAAATGAACCTTTTAAGTTTCCTTTATCAGTTTTAATTAATACCACAAATGACAAAATATAATTTCAAAAGGCTATATATTGCTGCCTCCTCAGCTAATATCAAAACACACCATTGTCTTCTCATTAATTCTTTTAATAAAAGAAAGAAACCCACTTTCTGTCTTCACCAAATGAAACAAGTAAACTAGACATGAATACCCAATGGGTCTGTATAGCTCTGAAGAAGGCTACAGCAAGATGGCCAAAACATCAGCACAATTGACCGAGATGCGGCTCATCCCGGATAGCCAAGAATGCATGAAGATCCAATGAATATCCTGTAGAAACTTTACAGCAAAAAGTTCACGAATGATCTTCAGATCAAATTAAAGCATACGGTGAGGTCCGTAAGTCCTTAGTAGATTCCACAAAAGGGAAGCACATGTTAGTGAACCATTGGAATGCTCCATAACAGCCAAAGTAAACATGTTCATCAGGAGAGATGGCTCATGGCATCAACTGATGATACTGCAGTCCCTTTGACCTGGAGATCCTAGGTTCGAGTCCTGATGGTGGCAGGATTTTTGAGAGGGCAGGCACTAGCTTGTCAGCTAGGTCGATTTCAGTCGGGAGAAGAATTCTAGTGGCCAGCTGCTCTGATTCGTAGTTTTCTGTAGTTTCTCTGATCAACATCAGGCGAATGCTGGAGCAGTACCCTAAGAAACTGGCTGTGGACCGTGTGCAGTCTTTCAAATCTCTTCGTTGTCCTATCCTCGCCCTATCCACTTACACTAACATGCACTATACTACTACACATGCTGGGAGACTGGACGGGAACTTAGAACTTGTCCTAGCTGGGGCAGTGCCTGCTGGTAGGAGATATCTACTTGGGGAAAACCCCTCTAGGCGACAGTCGGTCAGCGCTGGATCTCGCCATACAGCAGGAGAAGACCACCGCTCTCTTCCAAGTAAAAACATGCACTGCACTTATGGAACTAATGACCTTAGTAGTTGATGTGCCCAGAATCACTAACAATCGATCAATGAACATGTTATTTCATTCAGAGACATTAATTAAAATAATATGTTGTTACCTGAGAAATGAATGGCTTGTGAGATGAGCAACTCTTAATGTTTCTGTTTAAAATGATCTGATGTGTCACATCACAGGAAGATATTAAATATACAGTAATCTCCACCACTTTTCTGCTATCTTATTTTAATACTGTTCAAAATCGCTTCAGGTCGCTGTTTATTAAAGGACAAGTATGTAAGTTCTTGGCTGCTGGCTGCTTAGCCAGGTGGCCACTAAAAAGAGGGAGTATTTACCCGTCTTGTGGAAACTCCATTTGCTTCACTAAAATCTGATTGTTAATGGAGATGGCTGTTCATGCAAGTTTCTCTGTATTATTTTACAATGAAACCATATCTGAACAATGTGTTTAGTCAGTGTTGGCAGATGTTTTATTCTCTTGTGACTACCTCAGTGAAATGTATCTGAGATATTCTGAAAATCACCAATATTTAATTTCATCTCATTTTATTGGAAAATTCATTACACATTCAATGTATCTTACTCAGCAAAATAAAAATATACAATATGTAAGAAGATCAAAAATCTGAATGTATGTTGAAGTTATGTAGTAAATGCAGACAAAAATGCAAGGTACATAAGTATAACCTACAGAGGCAATAATAATAATATATGCAGAAATAGCAATAAAGTTAGAGCTAAGGTAACAAAAGAGTGTATTCAAAGAAAAAATAGAAATAAAATTCAAAAAGGGGAAACGGAGAAACTAGCTATTCAATGTACACTTATGACTGAGGGCAGATTGTGATGACCTAAAACATCGCCAAAAATGAGCAATAAAATGCTCTTAAAATGTTTTTAAAATGCCCTAAACACAAAGAATAATGACATAAAAAATGTTATCAAAACCAGTTCACATGAAGAACTCAATGTTGTGAATATGTTACTGATGTAAACGAGGCATTTTCCTTTGTTCAAGTGATCTTGGCTTGCAGTGGATGGTTTGGATTGCTTTTTACCAGGAAATCTCTACTATTATTTAATGTGAAATTCCCCAAAGCGACAATGGCACTGACAGGCATCACAACCATAAATTATGTAGGTCTCACCCTGGCTGAATTACAATATATGAGCAAAGAATTCAAATAGGTTACTCAGGAATTGTGTGGAGAACATATGCTTCATCTTGAAAATATTTGAAGTAATTCCTATTACTTCATAGTGATATTAACTATCACAGTGATATTAACATCAATGAAGTCAGTTAAAAATGCATTAAAAATGACTGAAAAGATAGAAAATGACTTATTAGTTGCAATCGATGAAAAATACAAAAAAAGGACTTATAAAAGTGGGTCATTTCCTTATGTCATAACGTAAAATTAATGTCTATTCTAAATGGCATCGTTAAAATTTGAAAAGAAAAAAAAGGGACTTTTCATTAAAATATGACCCTTACCTATGGTATAAAATTTGGTCTTGAAAGCTGAGAGTGGGACACAAAAATATTCTATTTTCATTCATTTTTTTTCCACTCCCAGGAGTCTGTGCACAGTGTCGTTATTATGTATGGACGTTTTCATTATTTTCCCGTGACAAATGTGAGATTGATGCAAGGATTGAGAAGAAATATTGAATAATTGAATTTAATTTTGATAATTAGATTTCTCTCATCAATACTATTGATCATGTTAAAAACTAATATTGTGTCAGTAATAGTTCTATCATCCCGTAAGGTATTCAGGTATTCAATTTCTCTAATAAAGGGTCATAATTCTGATCATTAAATGACATCAATTGATGTAGTAACTAGGATTAACCCCTCAAATGACTATGCTGTACTGACTCGATGCAGACTATATCTTTTAGAAGATAAGGTCACGAAATCAGGGATACACATTCCAAAAAGATAATGTTTTATATAGAAAGATGTAAGAAGAGCAGTCTTGGAAATCCATGCAATTCCTGCATTCGTAGGCTTTTGCGGCCGGAGTTAATACATTCTTGGCTATCCAGGGTTAGCGAGAAGCGGCTCATTCCGGATAGCCAAGAATGCACGCAATTCCTATCAATGAATCTCGAATGCCTTATGAAACTATATCATCAATATGCAAAGAGGAAGAGTCATTATGGTAAAAATAACTCTAAGATCTCTGGTAGATTCTACAGAGGACTTAGCACCATCAGAGAAATGGTAATGGAAAACAACAGAATTATGTTTATTAGAAAAGTGAACCAATTTGAACTTAGTTGAATTCAGGTTAATTCCATTGTTTAGGCACCAGACCTCATCGTCTGCAAAGATGAAGCCTTTACAGTGGAGTAAGTTGTCGCAAATGTCGCTAGTATTAAATACGAGAGGATCGAGATGTGAGCCTTAAGGAACTTCAGAAGTAGCTGTAACATTTCTTGACCCCATAAAGGAAACAATAGTAATTCTTTGGGTTATGTAAGAATTGAACCAGTTAACGATTGTGGAATTTCCCATGTATGTAGCCTGCCGTATTCACCATAATATAAGACGAGTTTTTTCCCTAAATATCTCAATCGAAAAATGTGGGGTCGTCTTATATTCGAAGATTAAGTTTGATTGGTTTGTTCCTAAGTGTTTACATTGCCATACCATGTCACGAAACTCAAATGTCATGAACTGCGAAGACGGTAAAAAATATCGCGTGTTATAATACTACGTAATTATATTCGCGGTCGTATTCTCGGCATTCCCTACATATTTGCCGGGCAATTCAGACCAATATTTTGAATTGGCAGGTAAAGAGAATCTCAAAAGATTACCATTGTATCAAGTGCAACAACGTGGAAATTAAGGCTGAGATTTTGTTACACGAAGCGAGTTCGACGAGGTCGCGCGGAATTTCGGTTCGACGCGAGTGTGAATGCGTTTTGAACTGTTAAAGAAAGAGGCCATCAACCAGCTCAGGACTGATAGAAAGGAATGTTCTTAGGTGGCATCTAATGAAAAATTAAGAATAATGCAAATTCAATGTGCAAAACTTTTAGAGAGGCCTAAGTAGTAAGATGCCGCCGCATGGAAAGCGGACCAAAAAGAAAAACATTGATACATGTGAAGATGTTGAGAGCATTGACAAAAAAACATGATTATGATTTTAAGGAACAAAAAAATAATATTCAGGAATATGCCTTAACATTCTCATCAACAAATTTTGTAGTCAATAAAACAGTTTGTAATGTTATTTTGACTAAACAGTAAGAATTAAGTAAAAATATTTAAAATTCTCAGGAGGCCTCTTCAAAACTAGGGGTCATCTTATATTCAGAGTTGACTTATATTCACATAAATATGGTAATATGTTGAGAAAGATGTATTGCAGTTTTAGTAAAATTATCCTAGCTGACATTTGATATGTTTTTTTTTTATCATGTAATGTAGGTGATACAAGTTTGTTATTCATCATGTTAATTTTGTCAGTTTTCTACCTTTTCATAGTTTATATTGTATTCACATTTCCTTATTTATTTTTCCAATAAGAAAAGTTTCCCTCCCAGTTTCACATTTGTTCTCCTCATTATTAAAGCAATAAGAGAATGCTGACTTGTTCATGTAAATTGTCTTATTCCTGTTAGATAGATTTTGATTGTGATTAAGCAAAATTACATTAATGTGGTGAAAAACAGTTTTCTCTTTGTTTGAATTGGTTTTTGTTCTGAATGGCAGATTTCCTGCATTGTGATAAAAGGAATTCACAAAAGAAAACCCAGATATGCAAAATTTGTGTGTGTTATGGTGGTGTGATAATTTCACCTTCCTTCAAAGATAATATTGTTACAAAGTGTGATTATTTTAATTGAACTTAATATTAGATTACTTGTAAATTTCAAAGTAATATTTTTATATGACCTTGTAAATATTGCATGTGGACTTCTTAATGTGAAATTGATGTTTTATTATTTTGTTCTTGTTCAATATTAGAAATTTTATTCCTTTGACTCTGACAAAGTGAACATACATTCTACTGATTTTCTTACTCTGTGGAAAATTCATTATCAAGACAAAATGGATGATGGTAGTAGATTGCAAGATATATTATCTCATTATCCAAAGATGAGCTGGTCTGAAGGTAATAATGTGCTTATATATTTGTTATTTGTTCTGTATTTATTCTATAGTTTTACATCATCCAATTTTTATTTTTAGAACCTTACCTCAAAATAATTGGATGTATCCAGTCTCCAAATTTTATTAAACATTTAATATTGAGCATTGTTTTTCAATCTGGAATAATGACTCACTGCCGCCCAGAGCTATATATCATTGTTCCTCCAACATTACACAGAGTAAGTGAACATTTTATTACTGAATAAACTTTTTCGTTCTAATCTTCTGACTTTTACAGTTTTAAATATAGAAATTTCTTTTTTAATGTAATGTATTATTCATTATTAGAACTTTAAATCATTTCATGTTTACTTTTTACAAAATATCAATAGTTTTTTTTGAATTTTTGAGCGTACTCAAGACACTTTTCCTTAAATTTCCTAACAAAATTTTCAGAAATGGTTCCAAAGGTTTGTAAAGATAGAGCACAATAAAGTTATTTCTATAATTTGTTCATTTTTTTTGATTTGTTCATTTGTTCATTATTTCTATTCATGGAATGTTATGATACATAAAAATAGTTTATAACAGTGATATTGTTTATAACCTGTTTACAACAATGATAAACATTATCAACCATTTTATATATTTTTGTTTTATATCACTGTACATGTTTATGCCTTTCAAAAGAGAGATACTGACTGGATTGTTCTCTGTTCTTTAGTACTCTTGACATGTCATTATTGACACCATGTCTTGTCCAGACTGCCTCAAACCTGATAGATGAATAATATAATGGTATTGACTTTTGTATTTTTCTACTGTGTTTCAGACTTTCACGTGCACAGGAAAGGATGGGTATATTAGATACAGAAGCATCAGTGTTTTATTTCAGCTCTTTTTTGATTACGAACTTTTGGAAAAGCTGCCTCGAAAAGCATTTTTGCCATGGGCAATATCTATGGCTCCAAAGAAAAGAAAAATTGATGAGGTATTGAAATTATGAATTGTATTGTGTTGAATTGAGGTACCTGCAGTATGCATAATTTTATTTCTCAACTAAACTTGAACACAAAAGCTCATATTGTTTTATGACAAGAGGACAAAATGATTTTGTGACTGTTGGAGAAAAATGACAAACGATACTCAGTCGGAATGCCTTCTATTTAGCAAACTTTGGAATACACAGAATGAGTAGGAGACGAGCGTAGTACGGTCGACACCGCGTGTCCGGGGTCCAGAGTCTGTCGAGCGGCCTGCAGTCAGGCCATTAGGGTAGTTTCTGGCGCGCTCGCATGATGGCGCAATTTGTCTATCATACAACATCCTCCTCTTTTGAGACTAAAGGTTGAGACGTGGTGGTTTTGACGGACGTCCTGACCGAGTTCGTTGACCTTCCACTGGCGTGTGTCCATCTTCTTGATCGGTTGTTCTTGTCGCTGGTGTATCGTCAGGAGGTCCGTCATATGCTCGCGTCATGGGTGTTGTCGTTCTCGGTAGCGAGCTTTATCTCTTCGGTCTCTTCTGACTTTAATAGAAATATGGTGTATCTGTTCCGTCGGATTCGGTTTGTGACAGTTTGTATAATGTATGATCGAGGTTGCTTGGCTCTTTTATCACCGTCCCGAATCTCTTACCATCTTTGATGAAGAGTTTGATCCCAGGAATCAGTTCTGGAAGCTGTTTAACACCTTTTGACGAATTGTAATATTCCTGGACTCTTGCTCTGCGTCGATCTCCTCTGCGCCGATACTTCGTCCTGCTTTGCCAGCCTTAATTTCAAGTTAATTGGACCACCGGAAAGAAGTCTTTCAATCTCATTGAAAGTTCTACTAGTAAACATCCGATCTCCAACGTAGTGTTACGATACGTTAACAGGCCTTTGTACTGGTTTTTATCCTTCTTGAATATATTCTTGACTATTTTAACCCCTGCTTCAGCGAGGCTGTTGGATTGTGGATATCCCGGACTTCTCGTAATCAATCGAAAACCGTAAGTTTCCCGAAACTCCTTGAAAATCCGGGATCATCGAAAGGGATTGAACTGGGTCCAGTTGTCTGTTCGAATCTCATCCGGGATACCTTGCCTCGAGAAGATTTCAGACATCTTCACGATTATGGTTTCCATTGTCAAATTTTCACATTTGATGACTTCGGGATACCGTGAATACCTGTCGATGATGATGTGGTACTACACGTTGTTCACCTTAAATAGGTCCATACGAGCTTTCTGTGAAGGGCGACTATGCTGTTCGATCTGGATCAGAGGTTCATGTCTGTTGGTCCGATGTGTTCGCAGACAGCACATTTTTTGACATTCCGGGCCACCAAACAGTCTGATTTACACGTGTTCTGCATTTCGTGATACCTAATGTCCCTCGTGTATCCTATCCAGCATACTGGCTCGTAGTTTGCTTGATATTATTATTATTATTATTATTATTATTATTATTATTATTATTATTATTCTCGATTCTACAACAATAGAGGTTCTTTTGGTCCGTTTTGTCCATCTCTTCTTCCCAGAACCGCTCCAGGTTGTCCCAAAAGTTTCTCTTTGGGCCATCCATTGCAGATGTAGACACGTCACGCAGGCACGCCACCACTCACACACACACACACAACACAACCACACCAACACACACACACACACACACACACACACACACACACACACAGTGATGATACTTTGACACATTAATCATGAATTATTTTTAAATACTTGAATAGGGGTTTTCGCAGGGAGAAGCTATGGACGGAGATCGAATGTGCATTTTTCCTTCAAAACGGCTCTATCGTTTTTGATAAAATTTTGTTGGTGAATTGCCTGAAGGACGTTTAAGAAAATAGTGTAAGTGTCATTTTGGTTAAAAGCCCTAATTGTTCGAATATTGAAAAAATTCAAAAATGAGGTCATGTTGCATTTTCGTAAATACGAGTATTTTGGAGTAATTGGTCTTAAAAGTTAGTTGCCCTCTGAAAATCCTGTGCTTCTTAATAGTAATTTTAGGTTTTCGATGCAGTTGGATGCTACGTAAGTTAGAATGTGAATATTATTTCATATTTCTTTGTTCGTTTCTTACATTGGAACTTTTCTTATACGTTTACAAATTCATCTTTTAGAAATTATTAAAAATCTATTTGAAATAAATGTGAAATAAAGATTGCTAGTCTTCAGCTGCCCGCTCACTGTTTACGCAGTTGGACGTTACGGAAGTTAGAATTTATATATTATTTCATTTTAATATAATTTTTATATTATAATTATGTTACTTTATTTTATATTGCGTCCTTTAATTGCGTTAAATGTGAAAACGAATAGATGAGCATTGTTGGTTGTTGTTATTTATTGTTGTAACGTCGCACAGATGACAAAAGGCGATAATGACAGCTACTTTTCGTTCGCTGTAATGAACACGAATTTCGAACTATTGATCTGTTTGCCAACGCTATCAGTATCGTATTATTTATTAAGTTTTATTTTTCTGCTTTTTCGAATTTACCTATTTTCCGCACCAAATGTTCTACGATTTCAAATGAGTTTTAAAAAAATCCGGGAGAAATTGTGGCGCGTCACGTCGGATGTCATCACGCCGTATGAACGGGGCCCTTGCTGACAAGACCTCAGAGCACCGAGGACTCGATCGCTAAGGCAAGCGGCTCATCTTCAACGAAAGATAAAATGCATATCCGGTAAAGGTATAGTATTGAGATAGGTCTATGTAGTGTTTGGAGTGCGCTGAATTGTTCTTCACTACACTAGAGAAGAGTAGAGGGTACCACCAGCCTTTCAGACCTACCGGAGATGAGAATAGGAAATTAAGTTATTTTCTGAAACCTCTGCCATTCTGTAGCTCCATTAGAGTTGTCTGTGAATTTTACAGTTGTGGTTATAATTGAAACGTACATAAAGTTTTGCAATAAATTCTACCTTTTTGATCTATCAATAAAGGTCTAAGTTTTTAAGATCCTTAATATAATATCGTAATGATTTCTGAGGAAACATAATGTATTAATCATACCCAGTATTTTGTTTTGTAGATTCATTGATTTTGTTTGTTGATTGATTTTTTTTTCCAGATATCTGCACTAAATGATGAATGGTTATATTTAATGAAAATTGTTCCAAAAAGGAATTTGTATGAAACTGTTCCTGCTGAGAAGTTACCAGCTCTTTGGTACTTTGTAAGACATCACTTCTGGAGTCGTAGTGGTAGAGTTATAAGAGAAATGGAGTAAGTCATATTTTTAAATTTGCGTTCATTATAAATTATTTATTTGTTGTTTTATGGTAAATTTTTATGTAAATGTTTGTGTAATGGTAGAAAACTATGTAAGTGGGGAACAAAACTTATTGTAATAAAAAAAAGAAAATATAAACATATATATTTATTGTAACCAAAATATGCAAGAAAAAATTGAAAACATAAAATAACAATTCAGTTTGTTTAAAATTTGCCATGTGTAAGCATTTCCTGAGCACAGAATGTTGCTGATTATATCTTAATGTAGATTCGTATCAGTTGAAAGAAAGTTCCACCTCTACAGAAGTAATTGTACGTTACTCTTTTCTACACATAAGTGTGTTATTCTAAATTTAAAATAGTATATGTTGTATATATGATGCTGTTTATGAGCAGTGAATAGATGTACCATGTAGCCAGTTAAGGCAGCAGGCAATTAAAGAGAACACTTCTCTCTCCTAGAAACAAAAACGTGATAAGATAACGATCTGAAGAAAAAAATTGTTAGTTTTTGATTGAGTAACGAATGTGCTGTTTAAAATATGAGCAAACCTGTGTTTGAAATTACCTCTGCTGTACAAACATCTGCTCATCCTTGACTCCAAGAACGCAATTTCCAAGAAGCAGGGTGGGAGGTGGGGGGAAGTTTGGCAAAGATTATTCAAGCCAAAGATATATGGTCATATAAAGATATGTGGTCATATAAACACATTAGCATTGCATTGATTTGTAAAAAAAATTATGCCAAAACATATTCCAAATGTGCATCAGAAGTGTTCTGTATCGTGTAAATATTGTGATATGAAATGAAATGTGCAGTAATAGGTAAAATATTAAAAATATGTAATCATGCCAAAATAAGTAAAATAAAAATGGTTCTAATTCATTCAGAAAACTTGTAAAAAAAATTATTGACTGAAGTATTGTGTTTGTGTAAAAACATGTAATTACATGAAAAGTAGTTCCCCATATATAAGTATTGATTTGGCAATATTCTATTGGGCATGAGCCAGCCATTTTCATTAAAATTTTTGAAGCTCACATCATGTAGACAAAGAATGTTTGAGACAAGAACCATGAAGAGTGAAGTTGAATTAAATGGAGTGACATACACAGTGTAGACCAATTGTCACGAAAGCAATGTTTGGTACCAAGGCTTGTTTGGTAAGAGCATCTGTCTGGATAACAGAGAGTCTATGGCTTTGATCTTGGTGGCAATCGCAATTTTGCACTTCTTGTCCATCTCTTTTCAGTATTAAACTATTGCTTGACTGTGGAACTGGTTGATAGTGTAGTTGTTAGAAACATATTACTTCTGGCTATTCTGGTGCTGGTAATGCTACGCGAAAAAAGGCGAATTTTCGGCAGAAATTTCTTATTACAGATCCTGGCAACTAAAAAGTGAATAAATCCAAATACTAAGTTTGAAAAAAAAAAAAGGTCATATAACGTATTGTGTAGCAAGAATCCATGTTTTGTGGGTTCTTGATACCGAAAAATCGATTGACGGCAAAACATCTGTCCCTGTATGAACAACGCTAGTGGCTACACTGTTCAGCAGATTTGCTCCAAAATTGATATTCCCCAATCGATCTGGCTGATATTGCGGCTCCTAGTCTACCCCATTTTTACATGTTGAATTCTGAATGCAGATGGATACGAAATATTTGTTCTTCAATTAGTTAATTAGACAATTTGGGGAAATATTCTTGTGTTAAAATGAATAGAGCATTTAGCAAGGCGTAATGTGTAATTCATATTAAAACAAGCATATTTGGAAAATGTTACAATACTTTAGTGTTTAATAATTACTATTATACATTTTTCTTTCTATTTCCATTTGTTTGCCAACGTAATAAGTGTTACTGTGTTGTTAAATGTTCATTCCAACTGCCCCTGTACTAGTAACAATTGGTGCTGATGCGTAAGACACTGTGGCCACCGCTGCTACTGGCAGATAGTATTATTTATTAATTTTTAATTATTTTCTTTTCTTGCATACTGCTTACACAGAATATTCTAAGACTAAATAACTCATTGGTTATGTTCGTGAATACACTACATGCCTTATACAATGAATGAAATGCAAGAAATATATTTTTATTTAAAGTTTTGAATAAAAAAATCTATTACTATTTAATTTTTGCACAAAATGTTGTATGATTTCAAATGAGTTTTAGAGAAAATGATGACTGAGGTGTGTTAATTTGGAGAGAAATTTTACCACCATAGTATTACATAACCATTACTAAATGCGAGAAAGTATGTGCTGTTTTAGCTCCACTAGTTTCAGTGAGCCAAAGGTCATGTTTGATTTTCTCTTTTATAAAAAATTAAGGATGAATTTTTCTAAGTGCTGGTAAGAGAGAACTTAACATATTGCAAAGAATTGAAATTAAAATGATCAATGTGTATTGTGTATTAATGTCATGCTGTCTTTCTTTGGTAGATCTTGGATTCCTGGGTGTGGAGTGAGACTTGTTCTGGAAGGATACAACATTTTCACAGAATTTGGTGATCTAGAGCCTTCAGAAGTTCTCCGTATCTTCCAATTATTTTCAGAGTGGCCTGAGTATCAGGATTGTTCTTTTTTGTCTTCCTTGGAAACTGCTCTCCTTAAATTGGATGAAAATTCTAGTGATAAATTGGAAAACGAAGGAAGTGATGATGAAGCAGCTAATGAAGATAATGAAGATAGGAGGTGAATGTAAGAGATTTGTACAGTTGTTTCGAATGTTAGATGTTATGAATATGAACATTCATTTCACTTCACTTCACTTCATTTCATATCTAACAATGAAAGTGATTTTGGTTGGGTATAAGACATGATGAAAGGCTTAAATATCATGTAATTTTGGTTTTCACATGTTTTATAAAATTCAAACATATTAAGATAACATGAAAATATTGTTTTTTTGCAGTCCAAATCGTGATATCACTAAGGGTCAAAAACAAAGACATAACAGTCACTTTCTTTTGTTAATAAAAGTAATGAAAGACCCTCAATTTATGCTAATGGCTGTCCCTCTCCATTGCAAATTGAAGTTTGTGTTGGCAGCCATGTTGAAGAAAAATTTATTCATCTCATTCACATACAGACAGAAATTTGACAGACATTTAAAAAAGTCTTGATAGATGTGATTAGAAGTCAAATCAAAATACTATCCCCTTGTATAAATGTAAGATATGAAAAACTTTTGTTCAAACAAAAATATCATTATATATCAAAACAACACAGCTTTATAAATTCCAATTTATTCTATTGTGTTAAAGGCGTGCTGCCCACATAGTTTTGAACCCTTGAAAGCAAAAAACAATATGCATATAAGCTTCTGTTGGCTAGTACATTACTCTGAAAATTGATGTACTCATGTATGTACTTCATGAGGACTGAGGTGGACCATTTTTTGATACATAAGTTTGTATACATTAATCTAACAGAGGATATTTTCAGTAAAATGGGTTATGAAGGTTGAGGATATTTTTCTTCACAAATCGTCTTTCTGCAGGGGATATCAGGAGTTTTTTGGAAAGTGGTGATAGACTTCAGTGACTTGACTCCTAAACCACCAATTCACCCAATTGACCACTTAACCACCAATTGTTTATCTAGTCCATATACTGCACATGACTTCACCATATTATTTCTTGTTCTCTTAAAGAACCTTCCTCTGGCACTAAAAACAAAAAGAACAATGAAACGAAAACAACTACCAACAACAAACAACAAAACCATATGTAAATGAGAAAGAAAATGGTACCAGTCGTTTGAATGTTCTTTGCCCCCAACATGGCTACCAAGGAACAACTCAATTTACAATTGTACACTAGCACTATGCATGGGTCTAGTAAACTATTACAGTATTTTTTTTGTAATGAGGTGGTTTAATTGTTAACTTTTCAAATATTGAAGATCTGTTTTTATTGAAACAATGCAAATGTTAAAAAAGTTCACTTAATTTTATCACATGATGTTCAGAAAGTAATTTTCTAATTGTACTTTAATTTTTATCTGGCTGATTAGCTTAAAAAAAAATTTACTAATTTAAAAAGGTTCCTAATTTTTCTAACTAATGTGTCTTAAATTTTTTGTTTGGGACATTATTTAATACAGAGCAATTGAAAATTGTCTTTGAACTTCTGAAAGTCAATTACATCATGATGTATGCTGTGTGTGATATAATGTTGAAAAATTGTAAGAATATTCCCACCAGTGAAGAGAAATGATATGCCTCTTGGTGACAAAACTTTTGATATCCATTACAAGAGGTCACGTGTTTCACTATGAGGGGTGAAACATTCCCTGTACTGAAGCGATGATCCTGGGTGAAAAAGTGTGTACTGATAATTGACAGTATGACTCTCAGAGCTTAACTGTTTCAGACTATGGTGATGGATATTGTGTGCATATCTCAAGTGTCACATGTACCTTATTTGCACATTATCATGCAACAAAAAAATTCCAGTTTGTTAATATGCTCAGTGCATTCATTCATAAGGCAGTGTTTCATAAGCCTTTGCAAATTCTTCATATTGCCAGTATAATATTTCTTTGATAATATCAAAATGAGGAAAATTTCAAATCTCTTTTTGCAGAAACAGAATCATCATGGATAATAGGAGCCCCATCGTATACATCACATTTTGAATCATTTTTCATTTTTGTTTTGAATTACCGTTTATTGTATTGGGTACCCTGTCTGCTAAAGCCGTACAATCAAATTTTCTCCGTGTATGTGTTAGGTTGAAAGGCTGAAAATGTCATTAGAATAGTAAACTGCTGCTAAGTGTTTTCTACCAACTTTGATACAACCATATTGCAAAATCTGTTTTGTGAAACTGAATTGCTTGGTATTGATGAATTCAAAATGGCTCTGAAACTTAATTCCCAATTGTCTTTTCGTTTTTGTCTCTTTTCTTTCTTAATTTTTATAAACATTTAAATTACATTGCAGTGGAACAACATAAAGAACATTAGAAACATGGTCATTGACTTAGTTAGGTCATGATGTTCAACTTGTGTAATAATAAATACATTATTGTAGTTCGATCGGTTGATTATAGATAATATAATAATGCTGTGTATTCCTCTAGCAATTATCACAATCATCAGCATAGAATTATCGCATGTTCTTGTTGGTAAAATCAAGAGGTCTCCCAAAGTCTAGTTGTTGTTTCCCAAAGAATCTTCACCTTTTTACCCTATATTTCAGAACAATATTTAGTAGTCTTTCTTCCTTCATTCTCGTTGATGCAATACTGTATAAAATGTTCTCTTACATAAACTAAATGGACTAGTTGCAAAATTAGGATTATTTCCATTTTAAAAACATTTTAGAAAAGAAGAAATAATTTGGGAAGGCTTTCAAGAGTTTTGTTTGTCTAAATGACATGATAAAAACAAAACGTTTGAATTATATAACATTGAATGAATGGATATTTTATCACAATTTCATTACATATTTTGCGTATTGAAATTCAACTACAACATTTGTAATGTAGTAATTCCTAGAACAATGGAAGAGACTGGATGCTGTTTTGAGGAAAAATTATTGTTCCTTGTAGGCAGGAGGTACTACTACAGAAAATAATTAAGAATTAAAATACTATTCTCAGATTATGAAATAAAGACATTATAATTTCCCTTATTGTAAACACAGATATTTCATCTATTTTGGTGATAAAATTTCATGAATATTTTGTGAAATGACTTGCAAAGTCATGTAATTAAAATGTATGTGGAAATAGAACTTTGTTTGTTATGTAACATTGAGTGTCATGGAAAATTGTGTTTATCATTTATGGAAAAGAAAAGAAAGAGCCAATAACGATTTTGAGTTTTGTACGACTAATTCAAATGTTAAGCGAGTCATGTTTTCTGTGAAGCTACCTTTAAAATTTATGTTGTATTAGTTTCTTTTTATTGAAGTGTATCAAATAGGCAGATCCAAAATGTAGGGTGCTTGTAGTACAACAATATAAAAATAATGGCTGTGAAATGAGTAATAACAGATACCTTTTAATATTTTAACTAGTGATTTTAATTAAATCGGAGATGATCGTAGTTCACTTCTTTTGATGAGGTATGTTTTTTGAACTTTATATTTGTGAGTAGTCCCCTTCTTGGAATAAAAAGACCAGATTAGGAAATAAAGTATCCTTGCAAAGTAATCACACTACACACATTGTCATAGATAGACTTGTTTTCTTATGATATGAGGGCAAGTTTTTGTAATATGTCATATTTGCACCTCACATTATTTAATGTTCCTAAGTGATAGAAACATAGCTTTAGTATTCTTATGAAATATAGTGTCATTTGTGGCCATATTGTTGACACAAATACTTACTTAGATCTGCATATCACAATTTTTCAGGAAACCCCAAAACAATTGAAAGCTAAAGATTCAATACTTTACAACAGCTATTTTGTAGACATAAAGGGATTTAATGTTTGACACAAGACACATTGATTGCTTTTGCAATTTCTAAACACACACAAAAATAAAAAATAAAATAAAATATAAAAAAAATAAAAATTAAAAAAAAAATTAATAAATATAATGATAAAAAAAATATAATGATAAAAAATTAAAAATATATTTTTTTCATATCTGGTTTTGTATTTGTACGTGTGACAATGTGTAAATGCTTTATTTGTTATTTTAAGATTTCTGTATTTTTATTACAATTATCACCATAGAGTATATTTTTGTGTGCAAATTTTAAATTATTAGAGCTGAGGAAATATATCAGGTTATTTTAAAAACACCTTTGTTTGAAATCATTTTGCAGACCTTTTTATTTTTGCACATTAAGAAGGTACTTCTTAAGAAGAGAAAGTTATGTAGTGCTGTGGGAAAAAGCAGCTAATTGTTGGAAAAAGCGGCTAACTCTTATTGTTGAGCACTGCTAATAAAATAGTGGATAAATCCAACTGCTAAATTTAGAAGAAAGAAAATTCTCTAACACGTGAATTAATGTTTTGTGAGTCCTTGATATTGAAAAATCGATTGAGGGCAAAACATCTTTCTGACTGTCTTAGCAATGCTAGTGGCTAAACCGTTCAACAGAGTTTTAAAATTGATATTCCTCATTCAATCTGGCTGTAATTTTGTGAGAAAGCGATTTTAGCACCACTAGTTTTAAATGGAATGTAGAATTTTCAGTGAAAGTATGAGTGAGAAAGTACATGCTGGTTTTGTTCCACTTGTTTTAAATGGAATGTAGAATTTCCTGTGATAGTGTATTTTACGTCAGATCTTTCTTTGTGGAAGTATGGTTTATTTTGTTCTAAAGCAGGTATGATAAGACTGGAAGGATTTCTCTTTATTTTGTTCTCATCTTGGTCTCATTTTTCTCTTTCGAATATCTGAGTTGATGTGCTGGCATGTACAGCGCATTTCATAGTTTTACTTATAAGTCATATTTTGTATTTTTATGAATTGATCAATCATAAAGAATACTTTTTCCAATCAAACATGGAACTGCCAACTTAGATATGTTTCTAAGTTGTGAATTTTATATGTGTATTATTTCAGTGGAAAATAATGTGAGGGTGTCAAGCAGGACATTATATGATTGTACAGTGAGGAAGCAACATATTCTGAAATCAGTTGTGGCTTTTCAATATACTTTACATATATTGAAGAACTACATCATGGTTTCTAAGTTTAATTAAAACACAAACACAAGTTCTAATAACAT